TTTTTCTAAGGTAAATGATTGATTACTGTTTAAATTGAATAATTGTAAAGATAGACCACTCTGGTGGTTGAGTCCTCCCTTCTCGAACGTTCTCGCCAAGGGGCTTTCGCGCTCAGTCGACAAGCCCCTGTGGTTTCAGCGACCATTCCGTGCCAACGTCGAATCAGGAGAACGTGGACGTACAAGTAGAACCGGGTGTGCGCCATATGACATATTCTCCAAGTATTTCTTCGAAAGCACGCCACCATCGACAAGCTCAGTCGATATTTGCATCGCCAATTTTGTTTCCAGCATGTTCAAATTAATTTGAAGTCTCAGTAGAATGAACACAATAACGTTAGATCATTCCTAAAACGACAGAGCATACCTGTCTACTGGATTGCCGCTAATCATCGAGACTAACGAATTCAGAAAGTGTTTAAATATCTCTAAAACATCAATCATCGGATCCTCAGACACAGAATTAAAAAATAAACTCTCCACGACTGCCTGTGTGGCATTGGTACTGAGGTTGAAATTCATCATAATATAGTTTTCCAGTTCGTTGATTGTCCAGCCGTTGGCACTAGCCGGTAGAACGTCCACAATATCTTGGATCGTCTCCTTCATATTGGATGGCCAGTAGGAATGAACACCTTCAGCGGGGGCTACTCGTGTCTAGTCTGTGGCATCAAATTCGTTCTATGAAAAAAATGATATATTAATGCTTGTTACACTATAACGGTGTTTTCATTATCCTTATTATTTTGAACATATTTTCAATGCAAGTAGAACGGGATCTGACAAGTTTGCATCGGGCGTCGTTTTGGACAACCAATAGAAAGACTGACAACAAAGGGGTGATAATCAGAATATTTAAAAGTTTTGAAGCTAGTTTGGAATTAATATTTAGTAGAATACTTAGAAAAAAATATTTGATCATGATACTAAACATAATCACCACCCTTTGCCACATATGATGAACATCACCAATTTAAAATTTATGTATCAAAGTGTTGTGTATAATTACACTGCGTGTATACATTTCTCATACAGACGAATGAGACAAATCTGAAAATGATACCTCTCAATTAAATTTTTCGATTTTTTTCAGTATGTGACACTGCGAACAAAACTTTACTCAGCATAAAAACGAGAGTATGTAGTTTACAGAATGAAAACAAATACCTTAGTAGATTACGTGACTAAAAAGTGCATCTCTCCTTGAGTCTTTAATCAGTGTACCCAATTTATTTATTATTCACCAAAACGCCCTTGAGAATAAGAAGAGAACAAGGTTGTGTTAAAAATACAATCCGCCAAGTCACTGATTTAAAAAAGAATAACTTTAACCATGTTTGGTCAGAATGAACAAAGGACCACAATCATACAACACATAATAATCAATGTTAATAAGCCACTGAGTATCTAAATTAGGACATGCATACTTCAAAGCACAGGTACCATATTACATAAAATGCCAGCAGTTCTTCTCAATAATGCGTTATCGTAGTTGAGTTCAACCCCTTGAACACGACAGTCAACTTTCACTTATTGAATTCCAGGGTATGCACATTAACGCCTGGAGATGATCAATTACAAAGGACAAGTATGCTAATTAATTGATATGTCGTGTTCGTGTAAACATGGAAAGTACATGGTGTAAAAAAAGTGTATGTTGTACGCTGTACATACGTCGCATGGGACCCGCACCGAACACGACGTGGCGTGGCTACATTAATCGACCTTTAATTATCAAAATAACTACAGCTATGAGACAGCTTAGGATAGCGGCCATTTATAGCTTTCAATTTTCCCTATTGTGCACACACAGGCGTGTTCTATTTATCGTTGAACGTTGAACTGAACGTATAGTTGAATGGTAATCCGACAGTGTCAAAGGTCTAGTCTTAGAAAGTGACGGACCTGCACTACGCTGCGATAATACGATAATAGGTCCATTGTGTTGACGCGAATACTAGTACTTGCTTGGTCGCGGGTTGTGTTAAGATTATGCGGGTTTTACGTGTCATACTCCGTCGACTCCACGTCCTTCGAGTGGATTCATGTTAGATTGCACAGTGGCTGATCGTAAGTCATCTGCTTGCCTGCCTGCCCGCCTGCCTGCCCTGCGCGCTGTACACACTTAAAATACAGGACTGACAGGTCTTAGTACGCGTATTAATACATTCACGCCACATCACACCCAGTGAACAAAGTACCTCATAAATGCACTCTCCAATGACTCGCTTATGTCACCTAGAAATCACCCAATTAGTATACACGACCAAAATTAACATTAACCACAGTATTAGGAGTCTCTTATTCTCTATTACCTGTGATAGTCGCGTACTTGTTCATTGCCGCTGTCCCGAGGGAATCGCCATAATCCATAGATGTCACGGTTGTAGGACCATGTCAGAATGTTATATCACTATGAACTGTCACCTTCTGTGTTAGCCACATGGTCTCGTAAACGCCGCGGTCTCATCAAAATGTGTGGGCTACATACCAATGGGTAAATTGCACGGCACATGCGCAGATAAGTATTGCTTGCACAATACGTATGTTCATTGAATTGAACAGTGGCTCGTCTGCAACACATGTGTATTCTATTGCAGTTTATAAATTGCGGATTTAACACAATGAAATAAATATTTGGGTTCTTAAATAGACGCAAACCTCTTTGTAAAAACAACTGTCAATGAACTGTGTTGCACGCATTGAGCTATTTCGCGTTGTTTTACGGAGGTTTGGGACGATTTGAAGAGTATATGTCTTATTTGAAATGTCACAAAAAATGGCGCAATTTAACATTGGTTTGTAAGACGAAATTATTTCTTCATATCAAAAAATGTTTATGTCATAGGATAACAAGTCATATATTATTATTGATCTAAATCCTAATATTGTTAAAATATCATTTCAAAAAATTGCATTTCATTTAGTCAGTTTTCAGGGTTGTAATAGTTCTATTATACAAAATGTCAGTTTCAATCCCAAAATGCTTTGTGTATATTAGCAGTAACATTAGACTCGGTAGTAGAAAAAATAAATTTAGATTATTTATTATATTTATATTTTGGCTCTTGTGAGGAATATATATTGGTAACATGATATGTATATCGTTGTATTTACAGTAATAATTTCGCATTCACAACTTTGAGTAATACATCGAAGGACAGAAGTAGCATGACCGTAGGGTGTCGCATTGTTGTGTCGCTGTTGTGTCTGGTTCAACGTGTACTCTGAGTAATTCATGTAGAGCTCGTGAAATTAGAAAGTACATGTACTGCCACTTAAATGACACGTGACTGCCAGACATGGCGGTAAATAACTAAGCACAAAGACAGTATTATAACTAATGTAATCTCTAGATTTGCAGCGTACATATGCACACACTATTTTGTCCACGGTTGTTAATGTACGCATGCTACAAACCGCACATGACACAAATTGCACACTATCTGGTTATTTTGATTTCTCCTCTCGTGCATTGATTTTTTTTCCGGAATACAATTATTGCTACAATTCTGTTGTGTCTGCTTATACATGAACTTGAAATATCAACGAAACAAGCATGCTCTAATTATATATTAATTAAAATTATTGATATTCATGACTTGTACCATAACACTAATGAAAACTTTCTAATTGTTTTAATTTTCTGATTCGATCTTCATATAATACTATCATTTAAGTGCTGTGCATGGATTGGCAGACAGACAAAATATATGTGTTCAATGTGACCAACGGGTGTTTACAAATAAATAAATAAATAAATAAATAAGTCAACGCGGGGCAAGGTGGTTAACATATTAAATATTATTATTCTGATCTCACAGAACTACCAACAATGGATATGCAACGCAGATGAGCAATAATTTTCGCAATAAATAATTTTGTTTTAAGCAAAGAATTCGAGATTGCAGTGGCATTTTTTGGAGTACTACTAAATTCACACAATTTCAGAAATCGATGTTATAGAAAATGAATAAACATTTATAAAACATTTAAAACGAGGGAGTCGTCATCTGTGCATGCGTCAGACGGCCATAGCATAGTGTCAAAGTTGACAAACAAACGTCTACCCACGAGCCTTTGCGATTTTAGCATGTGTTGATATCATCGCTTGAGACCCAATTCCCGCGCGTGCGCAGGTGACGACCCTCCCGCTTTAAAATGGAAGACGCTATCGTTATATTCAAATCAGCAAAAATGCTTGGCTTGAGAAGACTTTTTGTAACACTGTTACCCACTTTTGCACTAACATCATACTTTCAAATTTTAAAACTTATTCAGCAAGGCCACACTGGTCGAATTGTAAACGGACAGTATTCATCAACTAAGGCAATGTGATTGGTTCAAGTGATTTTCAACCATCGTTTGAAATTGATAAATGGTTAATGAATTGTTTAAATATATCAAACGTTCATGAGTTCTAAAATTCATTAGTAAATGGTACATGAAATATCATGTCAGAAATGATTTAATTTGTACTTACATTTCTATTCCAATTATGAAATCAATATTACCCTATTTATTTCAAGGTCATATGTGTGTTCCATTGTTCCACTCCCATAATTCGCCCTCTAACGACGAATCTCTAATGTGGCATCATGACGTAATTGCTGGGGAAGAAGCAATGTCGTTCAAAGAAAAAACAGTATATAGTTGTTTAGAATATAGCATATGTATTTGTTATTGACGACAACAAATTAACGTGTATATATCGACACTGCGTTAACACCGTATTTGTATAAGCGCCTCGTCACTGATAGGCGCGACTTTAAGCTTCTCGACCAACCAGAATGTTCTACGGATTTTTTGCACGTTCAATGCATGGTTATTGTGTTTGATTCGGCGTTTTAGTACTAAATAACAACCCAAAAATTTTGGTACTCTGTAAATATGACTACCCATGGAGGGACTGTAAACTACATAAAGGACGTGATGTTGAAAATTAGAGCAGACGCAAGTGATACTGGGTCAATGTAGGCGTATGCCTCCTTTGAGCAGACTATGATTTGTGGACACGAGACTTAATAACTCTTTTTTTCCAACAAAGAGTTTGCTTGAGTAATTTTGTCTTGGTGCACCTCTGACCCATATCGTCGGTAACCACGGCGTTTGTAACACAAACAAACCTCGCTAACCTGGGACTGCCTCGCCTTGTCTCCTAAATTCAGAGTTTTATTACATTACAGCTTTTAGATGTGTGAAATTTATCATCAATCGTTCTCCATATATATTGTACGTATGTTATAGCTGTTATTGGTGGTGTGGCAAAAACCTCTGCGCAGTTGACTAATTCTACGTTGAACCAATGAGCTTGTTTCGACATGAGGTAAGCAAAACTTGTTTATCTTCCTGCGAAATGCTGGGATTTGTACGAAAGCCGAGAGGAGCCTTCCTACTTCCTATTTCGCAGTTCTAACTTCCTACTTCCGACTTCAAACTTCTGAGTTCCGACTTCTAACTTCCGAGTTCCAACTTTCATGGAGAGCAAAGCATTGTGGGATATTGAACACATGCACGTGCGTGGATGGCTAACAACATGGCCGTCAGCAGCCAGACGAGTTGTGCTGGGTAAGTTTATTATTCACGAATTATTTAATAATATGTTGGCATGTAAGGGATTGCATTTGTAGTATTATTGTTACAAACCGCTGCACAGAATGTGCAATTTGTGCACAGAATGTTATTATCATGATTTATATTTCAGTCAGTTTGACAGTGGTTGTCATGACATATACTGATAAAGGTTAATGACAAGACCAGATGGCGAGCTGGTCGAAATCAACCAAAAACATCTTATGACTCTGCAGTTTTTAAGATACAAGACAGTAGCTGTAATTCTAAACCAATGTTGTTTGCGAGTTTAAAAAAGGTAGTATCTTGGTGGAATGTTAGTGCGAGATTATTACCCCATCAATATTAGTTAGTGTTGACAATGTATAGAAATGTTTTCTCTAGACAGCTTGACGAGTAATTAATTGATTATGATGTGTAAAACTTTCATGTGATTGGTTGTTTGTTGGAAGGCAAAGGCCTTGGAGTCTCTTATACTGATTGTAATTGGTTAAGGGGTGACAAGAAATAAAGATGGATTTAATGCTGTCTCGGGTGAAAACCAGGGACTTGGCAGAGAATCGTTTTGGGAACATGAACGAAGCTTGTGTGTGTCTTTTGTCAGCCTAGCGTGGAAACGACCGAATCCCGGTTACCTAAGTGAAAGGTTTTTAACCATCAAAAACCTATCACACGTGGTGGAGAACCCGGGCATTGTGTTCAACACAAAAATCATCCTGGGAACACTGTATGATTACAAGACAAAAGACATACATGATGGAAGGGATTCGTGAAGTTTTAACGGAACATCTTGGACAATGACACAAGCCATTGCTGGAGACCAAAGAATGACACAACAAGCGGTAGAAGATTCAGAGTGGTGGAGATCTTCAAATCGTCCACGCCTGTCAACATGGGAATCGGGCCAGCTCCGT